ATCACTGTTTTGTTTTGGAGGGAGGGAGCATTGCATATTATTCCTTATTAAAAATAGCACAAAAAGCAGCACCAACCTACTTCACTCTTGGCTGCTGTGACTGTATATACCCTATTAGGCCCAGGAGCCAGAACACGTACCCTGAACACTGAGCCATTTGCACAGGAGCCTCCTTTTGTGCTTCCCAAATGCACAACAGGGCCGATGCAGAGAGCATCCTCTCGCAGACAGTTCAGTGGAAATTACCCATATCAGAAAATATTTCTGAAGCCAACACAATCTTACAAATATTATGCTAGAATGAAATGACCCAATAGAGTGAGCTACAAGAAAGGTGCACACAGTAAATTAGCTGCCTTGCAAGCAGGGAAGTCGGACGGGCTCTGGCTGAGCCACCTGAAAGTTAAGGAGTCTTGGTTTGGCATGTTGGATTTGAAACATACATTGCCAGGAACTGCAGTTTAAGGAATACCTGATTTTAAGACCAATCACAGCCATAGGATCTACCCAAGCAAGCTATAAAACAGCGATGAACTCCATGTAGGGAATCATAATTTCACACAAAAACACTAACGCAGGAAGTGGTTAAATGCAGTATTCTGCAGCTGAAAGATATCTGATATACTCCAGAAATTACTTGTCCTAACTCAGATCTTTACAATCCACAGATGCATAATTTCTCTAGGATTGTTTAATGAAATATTAAAAAAAAAATCTATTTACAACGAAGAAGAATCACAGAAAGCTTCCCACTTTATGCCGTATAAACGCGTTAGCTAAAATGCTTTTGGGACACAAGCATATAATATTGAAAAACATAATGATAATTGTTCTTCCTAAAATACTCTTGTTGTGCACCCTGCGCATTACGGATTTATTAAAGATTAATCCAATGCTGTGAGGGTTTTTATTTCTGCCACTAGCAGAAGCTCAGTGCAGCCAGGGTGAATGCAGCACTCGGAGCACAAGCAGCAAACCTCAACGCTGCTCTGCGCCTCGCGGAGAGCAACGCGGCGCCGGGCTCGGAGCAGAAGGGCAAACAATTATTTCTAACTAACTAACTCGCATGAACCTGGTCTTATCACTAGCTTCACATCCCTCTGATACTGTGACATGCGCTGCCGTCTTCTGATGGCCACACTTCCGTAAAGACAGGGAGAAACTGGGAGAGGTTCAGGAAAAAAATCCAAAGGATTAATTTGAGGTCTGAAAGAAGCTTCCTGAAAAGGAAATTTAGAGATCAATCTCTTCAGCTTTATCAAAGAAGAGAGTAAAGTATGATAGCATCAGAGCCTATAAGCATACACACAAGAAGATTTCTGATAGCTCTTTAAATTTAGCAGACAAAGTTGTTGCAGGATTAAAAGCTAGACACTGATAACCTATTCAGACTGGAACAGGTTTTTAGCCATGGGAGTAAATTAACAATTAGTGTCACTTACCAAAGGATGTAAAAGTCTCTTCATTGCTTCAGCTCTTTACTCAGGGCTGGGTATCGTGGAAAACATTAACCCAACCATGTAACTCACTCAAAATACACTTTGTCTGAGTTAGTGGGCAACACCAGCAGCAACACTTGCTGCTGAAGAGAGAGCTACGGGTGAGTCTGTCCTGTGAAGAACTGCGGCTGACTCTGCTCAGACATCTGCAATGGCTGAGCAAGTCCTGGCCATGATGGTATCGTGAGCTGGGTACCAGCGAGATGGCCAGCACTGACCAGGAAAGCTTATGGAGATTGGCAATTTTTACAATCTGCACCTGTAATGATAACTTCTGCTTTGCCATTTTATGCATTTTTTTCCCTCTAGCTGTTCACATGCTTGCACTTGCCTCTCTGATGGTCATCAGACATCAGGCTTGATTCCCCTACCAGCTCTTCAGGCCTCTCTGGCTTCTCTATTCTAGGCTAACTGCAAAGAGGTAAGGAGGCCCTAAAGAGGCCTTAAGGCCTTAAAAGAGAGATCTTTGCCCTTTCCCTTCACACCTTACTCATAAAACAACACCAAGAGTGAAGTGGAGATCAGCATGATCCCTTGAACTGCTCTTTGCTAAGGAGACCAGCCTCTCATAGTCTCCTCAAGCTTCTCTTTGCTTGCACAAAAGGAAAGGACTTGATATTGTACCAGCTCCAACAGCTTTCCTAGCCACTTATCGCTCTCAGAGCACAGAAACCCATCAGTTAGCAGCTGCTTAAGGCTCACGTGCTCAGAAGGTGAATCTCCAGCAAAATCAACAGACAGACTGCGACTTTGTGATGCCAAAAGCAGTCAGGGTATTCTCATCCACACACCGGTTCCCGCTGCCAGAGGGATATTCAGCAGCAGACAGAGAGGGTCTCTGCAGGACAGTTCCTGCTAAACTGTGCAAAACACTCCCCTCGGAGCAGCCTTTCTTGCCAGTGTCGCCCAACTGAAATACTCCAGGCATATTTCTGTTTCCTGGGCACACCGTTCACATTACGCTCTAGCTCTTCAATGATTATTAGTTCAGTAATGCAGGAAATGTTAGGGGGTTTTGCTTTTCAGATGAGGCTAAGCCTACCACAGTATTACCAGGTCAGCAATCTTTACCAATTACAGTGCTAAGCTTGTAGTGTAGCAAAGGCCTTGATTAAAGTGCTCGTGGAAGAGGCTGACTTCAGTGAGACACATCTTGGTACACGACTCCTCGAATGCTGCTGCCCGGGGAAGGGAAGTGCTTATTGAGTGACCTCACTGGAGATAAATGAAAAGCTCAGAGGCAAATGATTAAATTTGGATAGATAAATCTTACCTTGCCTTTCAGCAGTTGCATGGAGTAAGGCAGCTGAGGTTTGCAGGGATGGAGACTTGCACAGCCTGAATATTCCCTTTTTCCCCACGAGCTTTTCCAGTCTCATGTTTCCTATAGCTGTAGTGGGACAGACAGTGTTACTTAGGCATTCACCGAAATTCAGACTGTAAAATGTCTTCTTTCTCTTTTGTAAATGGTCTGTACACCATAAACTTGGGATCCAGGTAATGTATCTAATGTGCATTGCTAAAAGAAGCAGGATATCTGCTCAGTAGCCTTAATTGAAACACTCTCAGCAAGATTTTCAGTTCCTTGAGCATGGGGCAGGCACAGAAATGCAAAAGGATAGTGCAGAATCAGTAGAGCTGTATAGGTGCCCATTTACTGCTCTGATCCTACCCATTTTCTTCAGTGAACATCCCAAAACTGGGGCAGCAAGAGCCCTGACAGACCTGAGCGCTATTTTCTGGTCAAGGTGCACAAGCAGATCTTCATTCTCATCCTTTCTGCACCATGCAGCGAAACAGGAAAACATGTGCAGAGCAAAGCACTGGGGCTGAGAGCCCAACACCCACCGTGTCTGACGCTTTGGGTAAGCTCTGGGGTGCCCATCAGCACCTGCAGAACTCCAAGTGCTCCTGGAGTGCATTTTCCAGTTGAGTTTTGACCAAAAGGAATCCAATTTGTGTGCTATGACACCACTCAGCGATGTGAACTGAAGTGCAGCAAATGGGAATGAATGAGAGATTTGCTTCAAAATTGCATCTGCAGCTCAAGTTTTCAAACAAATGTTTCCTCATGGTTGACCCAGAGCTTAAAAAAAACAACCAACCAACCAACCAAGCTCCCTTCCTCACCCTCCAAAAAAAACACATAACACTGAATTGAAGCAAAACTTTCAAGGTTATAAAATCAGGTCTTGTCTTGAAGGCTACTTGATAGATACTAAAAGACTGACGTGAGCCTTAACAACAGAAGTTACTGGAACACCACAGTGAAAAGCATGCTAGCCCTGCCCCAATTTGCTGGCCCACTGCTGAAAAACAGCAATGTTTTAGGGAATAAAGCGAGTTTATATGAAAAAAAAAAAAAAGCCTTCAGAAATCTTACAGGGAGGAGCAGATACAAATTAATCCATCAAGGGAACAATCTCAGCTTTGCTAATACATGGAGAATCTTCCACCTGGTTGAAAAGAAACGCAATTTATTTAAGGATGGCTGTTTGTGTTTCTGGATTCAGCTAAGGAAGAAGTTCCTCTGAAAAGGCAATTTGCAGAGGTTGTGGTTCTGCTCTCTCAAATTTACTGCTGCTGGGAAAGTTGATATAGAAAAAAAAAGAATCAGATACTGAACTAGCTGTAGAATTGCATTTCAAAATAGATATAGGAGTATTTTGGTCACTAGCAATATGACCTCATATTTAAACTCGGCAGCCTTAAAGATGTCCTTTTTTCTTAATTTAATTTTAAAATTTATTTCCAAAGCATTTTTTGAAATTATACCATTATTCCAGTTCTACTGGCTTTGATCTGCATTGGCACAGATCTGAAATTTTCAGAAATACTCCATTCTCAGCTAGCCAGAGCCTTGTTATATATTAGGATATATAGCCAACTTCAGAAAATAAAACCTTACAACCTTCAGAGACCGACTGCAGGGCTTGACAGTTGCATCTGAGGCCAAGTTTTCCAAAACACTCAGCCTCTCTGCTGAATATCCATTACACTTCCATAAGAAAAGTGCTTACAGGGTTCATGCAGCAAACAAGCTCCTCAGAAAACCTACACTGTGATTACGCAGAACTGGTCCAAGTTAGTGACTGGAATCAAAGTGAAGGATGTGGGACACTGATGGATGAGGGGCACTGCGTGGAGTAAATAATCTGAGCCAGAATTTGCTGCCTGGAGTCCTATGTAAAACTGGTGTGATAGCAAAGGGACACTAGGGAAGGATGAGGTGCAAGAATGAAGAGATGACCAAGGTGTCCAGGCGCCTCACAGCAGCTCAGGGAGCACAGAGGGTGAGAAGGGAGCATAACGGGCAGTAATGATAGAAACTTGAGCTGATGAGAATTGAAGGAATAAAACCAGATGAGATTCCAGCGAAAACTTGTGCCAGGAGGCCTCATACTGTTCCCGTGAGCTGCAGCGACCCTCTCCTGTGGCACATGCATTTGCGTATAGGGAAACATTGACATTTCACACAACTATTTGGGAAAAATGACTGAGACAAAGCAGTGTTATTCCATCACCAGAAACAGAAGCATGAGGCCAGGCTGCAGGCCGTGGCTTCTCCTCTTTGTCTTTGTGCTCAATGCCTGTGGTCAGGAGCTTCCCTGTATTGTGCTGGCCTGGACTCTGACCAATTGCTCCTTTGAACAGGCAGCTACTGTGCGGTTCGAACTCCAAATGCGAGATTAACATGCTGCTGCAATCAAAAGGGAAGCAAAACATGTCATTAGTTGCCTTTCACTGCTCTATCCCAGGGACATTGCCAGAAAGCCCGAGCTATGCAGAGCCTTTGGAATCAAAAGCTCCGTTCGTTGTCTTCCGCTGAGGATGCCCTAATGACGATGCTCTCATTGCCAGGTTGATGGTTAAGGCTCCTCGAGTGCTTGCAGGTGACCACACTTTGTATGGATCAGTAAAACTAAAAACTACCGGGGAGTTTTTCTCTGCATTGGGAAACTCCTCTAAAGCGCTGATCGCATGAGCTACTTGGCACTAAAATAACCATTGCCGATATGAGTCAGCGCAAGCGAGGAGAGACGGGTTCTCCTCGCCTGCCCGAGCTCCTGCACGGGCGAGGACGGGGACTGCGGCACAGGAACAGCCCCGTGGCCACGGGACACGCAGCGGGCCCTGAGCAGCAGCACAAGGAGCGCTGCGCCCCTCTGGGTGCCCCACGTCAGACTCAAAGCTACGACATAGCCCAGAGTCTCTCTTCGGGGACTGGCCTCAAGAGCATCAGTTATTATTTGCTCCAGTTTAAACGCTTAAACATTTTCCTGTATGTCTGTTGTCATTCACATATGTTGATTTTACTGTGCAGTGAGGTGCCTCCTGTATTATAATTGAAAGGTTTAAAAGATCATTACCAGCAGAGGATATGGCCTAACACTTTCAAGAGAGAAATTATCTTCTATCAAGCTACAGGCTCTTCAAAGCTGTAATCTATCCACATATTCTACAGCAGAAGGTAACAGTCTTGCTACATGGGGTCTGAAATCAAACTCGGCTTATTTAGTCCTAAAATAAGTTTTATCAAAGTATCCCATCCCACCATAAAAACAGACAAAAAGATCCAAATTTCAATCACCATATAAAATTGTAAAGACTCACCGGAGACTTTGTGTGGCAAATGTGGGATAATGTTCTGTTGTACTGCAACATGAAAAGGATTAAAACCAAGAACAGAAATGGAAGTTTAAAATTTTAGAACTGCTAGAAAACTGCATAAGCTGATTTACTTCGTGTAGCACCTGTTGGAAAAATTTTCCGGAAATCACACATGGAAAATAATTCATCCACATTGAACAGAAAGTTTTGTCTTTCAGCAGATTTCTGAATTTTTCCTCAAAGGAATATTCCTTCTCCTTCTTTTGCTGTGTAATGGGAGATATTTTGAATAGAAATGTGCCTGTTCATAAAGGCAAGTTATACACAGATGAAAACCTCATAGCTGGTAGTATCCCCCGCTTTCAGTGCAGCCACTTGCCTGCACTACAATCTCCCCATGTGCCGCATTTACCATCTTTCCCAGTGATTTGTCCAGCTTCTGTTTACAGAAGGAAAAACCGAACCAGGATACAGTTTTCCTAGGAGGCCGCTTGGGCCGCCATGACGGGCAGCCCACAGGCTGCGCGTGATCTCGGGAGCGCAAATGCAGGTCCCACTGCTGCCAAATTCACACCCAAGTCTGGTCATGGTACTGTGAAGGGTGAGAAAGTTAAAAACAGACTTACCTAACTAAAATGAGAATGTGCAAAGACAGAACCACTTTCCCGGGAAGGAAAAATCTGGGCCTCGGATCACCAGAACAGACGGAGAAGAGGCAGTCTCCTAGCACGCATGAAGCAAAATGGTGCCAGCAGCTCGTCTTCAGACCCAAACACCGCCGATGTCGATGACGACAGCTTGGTAGCCAGAACTGTGAAAGATATTACACACAACCCTACCTAGCAATGGAAGGGGGAAAAATCCCTTTCGAAAAAAAGTTTCGAATCGTCTCCAGCAGCAAAGTCTTCTAGGCAAAATTCAAATAGGAATGATGAGCAGGGAAATGCTAAGAGAGCAGTTGACAGAAACCCAGCAGGCGCAAGAAGATAAATTTCTGCTATTGCTGAAAGAGTTCCTGCAGCTTTAAAACTCACCCGAACATGGCACAGGGCAACAGAGAAAATACCAGCATTAATACCTTTCTGTCTAGATTAAACTGCCTCTTCATGGCTCCAGCTGCCAAATTCATAGGAAATGGCAGGACAGGCACGCTCGAAAGCGCAGCATCTGATTTTCCCTGAAAGTTGCCACCACCTGGATGCATAATGGAGAGGGGCACCTGAAGCTGTTCTGGCTGCTGAAACAAATAAAAGAGAATCCCCTGTGAACAACTGCAAGAAATGCTGATAGCTCGGGGTAACAAAGCCAAGATCCCTGGGCCTGGGCCCTAGAGAAGACGAGGTCAGAGAACAGGGTGCAGAGACACAGCTCCATCGAGGCGGCCGCTTTGGGACATCTCTAGCAGAAGGGCCCGCACGGTGGTTACGCCGCTAGTCCAAGGCTCACTCTGAAACCACTTAAAGCTCTGGCACAGATGGACGTTTTTCAGACATATACTAGGTGGAGATGCTTGTGTATTGCCATATGGATATGCAGGATATATATATATATATTGCTGTTGGTTTATAAACTACAGTAAACTAGAGTGTGCTTTATCATCTCCAGCTACGGTTTCTGTATTTGGAGCAAGTTTTAGGTTTGTGTTTAGCTCAAAAGGGGGATTACTTTTGCTTGTGGAGTTGCCCAAAGCTGGTGAATGAGACCTTGACAGTACTGCCTAGGAATGTGCTTGTTTTGCTCAGCTATATTCAGTTTTCAGTGATTAATTGCTTGTAGAAAACATATATACATGTATATCTGTGTGTGTACATGTATAAAAATATACATACACATATAGACGTACCACTGAGGGGGGTGCAGAGCGGTACCCGCAGTTCCTGCCCTCCCAAGGCTGCTGAATCACGCGACAGGCAGCCAGCTCGTCCTCACTCGTAGCTGTTTGGTCCTGCACATTCGAATTCGGCAGGAACACCGCATGGCAAGAAGATCAATATGGCTGGTATATTTTTGTCTCCTGAAAAACAACATATTTTGAACGATTTTTAATTCAGATTTGAGCAAGTAATAGCTATTCCTGTAAGCTATTGGCATTCTAATAGCAGCAGATCTGGCTACGGACTGGTGCTGTGGGAGCACTGTAATATAATATATAAAAATAATATATATGCATAACTGACATATATATGAAAAACCATATATGCAGTAACTATATGCATATATATTCTTTTGCTTTGCCACAAACAAAATCCATTTAGACCTCTCTGCTGTGCAGTGTAACACTATCACATGGAGACATTTAAACCATAAAAGAAAAACTTTGTTTTTCACTCTCAGACATCAGATCTACCCTAAACTATTTCTCCTAGAACTCACTGAGGATTGTGTGGGCAAAAGCAGAACTAATACTTTTCACTAAAGCTGTCTTGGCATGTGGCATGACGAGACTCAGTTTTCACTTATAATTTTACCAAACTTCATGCAATTAGTCTGAAAGTTTTCATGTTCCTTGTCTTCTGCAGGGTAAGGTTTACACAGCTAGAGCAAGGAGAAATATACTACTTGGCTCATTTTAAAAATAAATTCCCACCAAAGGTAAAACCTAACATCAGTCTCCTGTTGGTTTTAGAACATGGAGGCTGCAGAGCAAAGGTGAAGGTCTCGTAGTCACAACAGCTCCCTAATCTCGAGTTGTACTAATTTTCAATGCATAAAACATTGCAGAAACAGAAGTCAGACTGGTCACTCAAGGCATTCCCATATAATTTGTGTGCACAGAAATTACCTTTTTATTAGGCGTTTCCCCAAGAAATGTTTTCATTTATTTTGAATAGAATAAATGGATTGCACATTGCAGAAAAAAAAAACCCAACAACAACAACGAAAAAGAAAACAAACAAAAAATCCCACACCTGTTCTGTTTTCTCATAAGCAAAATAAAATAAAACCAGCCTGCGGTATCCTCTCACCTTTCCTTTTATCACTATTGCGCCTCCCTGACACCAGCATTTAAATCTAAACAAGCTCGAGCAGGGAAAGAGAGCAGAAAACACGAACCCCTCAAAGCTAAAGAGGGGAAAGAGAGCAGAAAACACGACCTCCTTGGGAGCCTCATTGAAGGGAGAGCCCAGAGCAGCCACAGATGGAGGTGGGACATCACGGGGACAAGCCGAGCAGCGACCACCAAGTCCTTCCCACACGGAGCTGGTGTCGGGGAGCTGGAACAGGCCCAAGCCTGGGAGCAACACGAGCGAGAGCGGCACAGGCTTGTTCTGCTCCCAGGTCAAAGCCAAGCTAAAAGAGTTTCTGTCACAGTTCTTGAAGTCTCAGAGCTATTTCAGTTGTCTGATTCTTTGAAGTCACTGCTCTTTTTCACTTAAATTCTTTCATGATAGTGATCAATTTATTATTGCACTTTGTATCATTAATCTATCTTTGAAAAGCGAGACTAAATCCTAAATCTGTCAGGACAGGCCCAGACAGGATTTGTGATTACAAGGCCAGTCAGTAGCGCACAGGAAGAAATGTAAAGATGAGGACGTGACCAAGCAATGGAAAAGGCATTTGGCAGATGAGAAACAGAAGGCTTGATTTAAGTTGGCCCTCTGAAGCTTTTACTCACATTTGCAAAGTCTTCTAATAAAAAGTAAAAACAGTTTGTGTTTTATTATGTTTATTCCTGATTTTTATTTACAAAGAGGTCTCCAAGAATTGCTAAAAAGGGACTAAATGAGAGCTATGAAAAGAACAGGCGCCTGGATGAATATGCTGATTAGATTAATAGATATTACTAAGAAATTAAGAACTTATAGTTCTTGATGGTGTGTAGTCTATCCCTTATGTGCGTCAGGAAGCTGGTACTGTAACACTATCAGCAAGAAACCACTTGCAAATCCTGCTCTTACATTTCTGAAATAACAGCTACTCTGAATCACCTCTCTGATTTTGCTCACGCTGACAGTCCATAACCCTTGGGCTCCTCTCGCAGACCTTGAAGCCACCAGCACAGTTCCTGAGGCAAAGTAGCACAAGATGACACAGGCCATAGGCAGATAAAACACATCAAGAATGTCCTGACAATATCTGAAGCTCCGTATGTCCCTTCCCTCACCTTACAGATCATCCACAAGAAAATGGTGAAGGACTTGAGTTACTGCTATGGCCAGGCTAACTAGTCTAAACTTGACAAGGGATCATACCCTTAACTGCAAAAATTAAAAGCCCAAGTTGCCATAAGGCAATCCAAATCAGCCTCTCCCTTCAGGGTTAATAGCTTCTCTAAGGGAGGGCTTAATACCAGGAAAAAAAAAAAAGAAAAAAGAAGAATATATGTTTATATATAAATAGAGCAGAAAACAAGGATCCAAGCTAAACACCTGCAACAAGAATCAATGGGCAGAAATTGGCTGTGGCAAAATAAAAACTGGAATAAGGTTCTGCCACAGCCTTCCAATAGGAGCTATTTGGCAACCTGCAGCAGGGCACGGTACCAGGCAGGACACAGCAACGTGCGGCTTCAAATCTGAAGGGGCAAAACTGCAAACTTCCTTACAGAGTGGGATTTTAGATGCCTCTTAAACTCCTTTGAGAGTCTGGATACAATTTTTGAAAAGGACTTGAGAGTTTGTCAGATGATTAAGTGAGGTATTTCAAAGTAACTGACTACTCAGAATCTTATAAATTTCATCTTACGACCATTTTCATACTCATCAGCTGGAAAGTCCAGCACAGATTTCCTAACGTTTTGGTGCTCCCTTAAGTAAGAGTCTAGCCAGGTTACATTATGTAACATTAAATTCACTTATAGTTTTCTACTGATAGAATATTGGTCAGGTTGTCCTTCTGTTACAAAACACCAAGCCAATAAACATGAATTCACCTTTTAGCTGTTTGCATTTGACCTGGGCATGAATATTCTGCTTGGCAAACCCTCTGGAGTACTTGAGATCAAATACGAAATGCTGCGCTGTCGATGTACCTTGAGGTGGTGTGTAAAAGTAAGTCATGGGACAGCTGCCTTTACCAAAGCTCCTCTCTTCATTTCAGCATCGAGGGGTTTGCAAGGTTACACCTGCTTAAGAAAAGAAAAAGTTTGTCTTCTGAAATAAAGAAATTTCTGAAAGTGGAAATGACACCTGCTGACCTCCTCTGGCTGTTGCAGAGGTTTGCACGCAGCTTCTCTGTGGGAACAAACCATTTTGCTGCACAACCC